GGCGGCGGCGGCAGCAGCAGCTCCATCCGTGGGGCTGGCGCTGCCCCGCTGCGCATCACTCACGGCGCCCAGGTACCGAGCGTCCCCGGGTCCCTCTGGGTCACCGGCAGAGGCGCGGGCTCAGTCTGCGTCCTGGGCTGAGCGCCGGGGAGCACGGAGCCCCGGGAAGTCCGGCTCAGGGCTGGGCTCCAGAGCACGGCGGCGGCTAGGGCACCGGGTGGCCGGGAGAGCTGGCCGGCGCTCGCTCTCTCCATTCACTGAGCAGAGCAGACACCGGAGACGCGGGGCCCGGCCCTCCCGCCCCCCTCCCAAAACACCAGCTCCGCCTCCCATTGGCTGCGCTGCGCGTCACGTCGACTAAGTTGGGAACTTTGCTGGAGCAACCAGGAGCCTGGAGGGAGGAGGCAACAGGGGAGCTAGAGGAATCCAGCTGGGAAGGAAAGGGACTTGGCCAGCCCGGCCCCAAGAAAGAAATATTGAAATTCACCGGTTCTCGGGAGCCAAAGACCGATAAAGCTTGTGGCTTTTTTTTTTTTTTTTTTTTTTTAATTCTAGCACTGAGCTGGATACTCAGTTCCAACATGGGAGCATCAGAAAGGAAACCTCGGGGTTTTTGTTTGTTTGTTTGTTTTTGGCTTTTAAAAAAAGCCAAAGTTAGACTAAATGGAGTGCTTACCCCGAGGTTACACAGCTTCTAGGCATGCTGTACCCTGGCACATTTATCCATGGAAACTTTGTCCCGACCCCATCTAGTATTCACGACAATCAACAACTACTTCCTACAGGACTTAAGGGGGGAATACACTCCACAGCCACTCGGGGTCGGTCTCTCTCTCTCTCTCTCTCTCTCTCTCTCTCACACACACACACACACACACACACACACACACACACACACACACACACACACACTGTTCCTGTGGTGAAGGTTACCGCTGGCATAGTTTACCAGGAGAAATCCAGTTCCGATTTGCCCAGCAATGCCTGTTATGTGGCTGAGAGTAGTGAAGGCAGGAACCTGGACCCCTGTATTGACAGCAGCACTTCAGGGTCCTGTTCGGATGACTCTGGGGCAATCATGTCACCTGTGAGCTTTTGTCTCCTCAAATAAAGGTGCCACAGTCCTGTCCAGCCTCCTTGGCGCATCAAAGAAGAGAAAGTGATTTTGCAAAACAGTGCTTTAGCCTGCAAGGAACCCATCATCCCTTCCACCCCCAACCCCCCCCCCCCAGCCTTGCCTTCATAATGCCAGTGCCTGCTCTAAATTGGCTGGTCTGAGCTTTTCCAGATGCCGGTGGGGAAGGGCTGTGTTAGAGGCTCCATAAATACTTGTAGGAATGATTTTGTTTGTTTGTTTGAAGGGAAGGGGCAGGAACAGAAGGAAGTATTGCCCAGACTTCCTTGAGGTCCCCTCTTACGGGAAAGGTCTGAAAGAGCCTTGCTTACATTCACACACATACACACACACACACACACACACACACACACACACACACACACGTACGCACCCTATACCTCTACTCTTAACTATATGCAGTCACATGCCTTTTCACACACACACACACACACACACACACACTGTGCAGTCACATACACAGGAGAACATGTATGTTCATACACCACTAACAACTGTGTTCCTGAAAATTCTCTTTTCTTTCATGTGAATACTACTCTGCTTTCTTCGTTTTCCTTAAAGGAAACTTTCAGCTACTTGACTACATACTATAAATATATAGCAGAGGTGAGAATTTTATTTTACTATACTTAGCAGATTTTGGAGTCTTAGCTCCAGGCACCCAACTCCCTCTCTCTCTCTCTCTCTCTCTCTCTCTCTCTCTCTCTCTCT